TCTAGACGCCACACCACCTTTAGGCGTCACTCTTCCTCCTCGAGTCTTCTTCCTCATTTCGATTCCACCTCAAAATTAAATTCAAAGGGGTTTCCACTACAAAAAAGCAAAGTTGTTTCGGACGGCCGATATGTTTGGAAATCCGTCGGAAATAGGTGGTCGCAAATCGCTAATTGGTCAAAAATCGTTGGAAAATTCCGACGGATTTATAACCACATCTGTCCGTTCTTAATGCCTTCGGAAATTTCTGACCACTTTACCGTGGGAAATTCGTCGGCAATATTTGCTACTGTTTTCCAACGAATCATTTTTCCAACGATTTCAGAGGAGTATTTTCCAGCAATTTCCAACGGATTATGAAGAAAATTAAATTTTATAGTTATAATTAAAATTAAAATAAATTAATATTTAAAATCGAAATAATTTATAAAACAAGATAATTTAAATTCAAAATCTAATATTAAAATATAATTTTTTTTTAAACATTTAAAAGAAAAATTGGTTTAACAAGAAATTAAAACAAACAAAAAAAAATTTATAACATCATAAAGGAAATCCGAATATTTCGTCTTCATGAAAGCCCGGGTTGCGATGAAGGTTTCTTAAGTTGTGTCGTTTTGAACCTTCACTGCTTCAACTTCTACCTCTTTCTCCCCGAGCGCATCTTTTAGTATTTCAACTTCTTGGAAGAGTTTGGGAACATCTCATAGATGTGAACAATAAATAAAAATAAAATTAGTACAAACATAATGTAAATAAATCAAATTAAAAATAAAATTAGTATCAAAACAATTTAAATAAATTGAATTCAAATTCACATTTCATATAAATTATACAAAATTACATTTATAAAATAAATTACCATTATTGTTTTCTAAAAATAGAAATAATTAAAATTACTTATATATATATATTGAAAATTTATTTTTAAAATCAAAAATAAATTGTTTCTCAAGATATAATTTCTAAATTGTTTTTTTAAAAATTAAAATTGAATATTATATCTTTATATATCCTTAACATGTTTTTACATGTTAATATATTGGATAATATATCAAAATTTCATATATAATACATTTTTGATATACAAAAAACTGTTTTAATATTCCAAAATCACGTAATGAAACCCCGTTCCATAAACATAAAATTCTCTTTAATTTTCTCCAAATTGAAAGCCACGAAACCTAATTCTCTCAACTTCCCCATCAATTCGCCAAATCTTATGCTTCTTCCACACGAGCAATTCAACCTAGAAATCTCGAACGATTTGGAGAATTAATGGGGAAGCTGAGAGAGATATGTTTCGTGGCTTTCAATTTGGGGAAAATTAAAGAGAATTTTATATTTATGAAACGATTTTGTTTTAGTTCTTAACGATTGCCGTTTACTGTTATTGTTAACAGTTGACTATGAGTAAAATTTTTAATTTAAAGAGAACTAGGATTCGGAAAATAAAAGTGCACATACAATGCTTGAAGAATAAAAGCGAAACATTTCAAAAGATGGGGAATAAAATGACAGTTCCCCCCATTTGAGAGAATTGTTTCTGTAAAATGTACATTTGAATAGTCAAAAGTATAAATATATTACATCGTGGACGTGGAAACTCGTTCATATATTCACATAAATATATATATAATGCAACTCAAGAGATGAACCTTATATTTTTTTAATATTTGGCTCTGATTCACCTAACTGTCTATATATGTCTGACTGGATATACGATTAAATAATTGGCATGAGGATGACGCATGATGATTAATTGGATTAATACTTCATAGAAATTTAATCCATTTTGATTAAGATTTGACGCTTTGATTACCACTAAAAGCCAAAACTTGGTAATATTTAGTGATTATAATACAATAGATGAATCAGTTTTTATTCAATTCTAGGTTAGTTTATTAATTATCAGAGGTGCGAGACGATAATTAATAAGAAATCAGTTCCTATCAATCTTTCCTGCCCACATATTATTTTGAAAGAAAACAACAATGAATTGAGTTGTATCTCCCTTTTGATTACTTCTTCTACTATACTTTATTAATCGTCATTGATCATGAAAATAATACAAAAAAATGAGATGATGTACATTAGGCATTTTAGAAGAAAAAAAATGATGTACATTAAGCGTGTTTATTTCTGAAAGGTATCTAATACATATTATGTTAATTATCATTTACAAGGTACATGATTACAATCCACAAT